GTTGGAGATGGCCGCTGCAAGGGGTGGTAGAGGCCACTTGTGCTCTCCCTGGGCACAAGGAAAACCCTGCTTACAGAAGCAATGGGACGTGCCTTGGGGCTGTGTGAAACTTCTCTGTTCTGCTGGAATTAGCTTTTTTTTTTCTTGCTCGGAGACATCCAGTTCACACGAATGTGGTGATTTATAGGCTGAAGTGACATGTTCCCTCCCTGTTTCCTCGTCCCCTTCCCACTGGCTGGCTTCCTACTTGCTCACTGCTGCTCCTCTGCATCATGCTGCTTTGAAGGCTGAAGGAGTGGAGGCTGGTCTGTTGGTAAAACTGCCTTAAAACTTAATAATGTTAAGTCTAGTTTCTGGCGTGGCACTCGCTGCTGGCTTGTCCTTTTGTCTTTCTCCAAAAAGGTGATGGAGAAATTTGCTGTTCTGCGCTGGTGCCTTGCATTGCAGGGAGCAAAGGGCATTTGCCGGGCATTCCCACCGGGAAGGCAGGGCTGCTGTCTCCCCAGAGGCTGCTGTGTGTCAGGGATGCTCTGTGTCCCCCTTAGAGTGCTGGCTTTTCCACGGGATACATGATGGGACCTTGTGGAAGTCCCTTGACACTTCATTTATATTTCCTTTTTAAAAATAGAAATTGGAGCCTTTCCACTGTTTTCTTTCTCGGTACATGAAAAGATACCACGCAGCTCGTTGAGTGGGTGCTATATGGCCTTGGCACTGTATGGCTGCTGGGAGAGACATTTAGCAGGGCTGGAAAGAGAGCAGGAGAGCGCAGCATCACCCTGTGTGTGTAAGAGATGCAAGGCAGGGCTCTCATGAACCTTGCATTGAGCAGAAGACACCAATTAAGCCTGGGTGCTCATAAAAACTACCCCGTAACCTCAGGCACCGTGTGAATTAAGCTTGCCAGAAGTGTTACTTTCCCTGGGGAGAAAGGTGTGGATAAAAGGCTGCTCAGAAGCCCGGTGTAGCCCTTCTGCCCCTGCCCGAGGATTTTGTGTCAGGCTCCGGAAGCTCAACTGGTGATTATTTTAATTGCACGCCAACCCACGGTGCCACGGCCACAATGCTCTGTCAGCCAAATAAAAATAGTGAGATCTTTTTGACGCGGGCCTGGGTTGGTAGGCATTTGGTCCATGCACTCCTGACAGCCCTGCCTGCGGTGAGTGCTGTTCAGGACAGAAAGTCAAAGTGGGTTTGCAAGTGAGTCACTCTTCTTCACTTCTCGTTTCAAAGGAGGTGTAAAAAGCTGTGTGCAGTAAAACTTTGAATTCCTGTTTGTATATGGGTATGGT